GACGTCAATTGAGACACTCCAACCCACCAAGTTCGGATAACACAGTCAGCGTTAACCCGTGACTGCAAACTCATCAAATAAATGGGCCCGCTTATTTCTGTTTGCCCTCAACGAAGGCTGGTACATGGCAACACGCTGACCCTAGCTTTACGAGACTTCCTGGTGGGCCGAATTTAAAGCAGTCTTAAAGCAACTTAAAATTTGGATAATCTTTGGAGTACTGTACGCGAGATGGCATGAGTAATACCCTGATTCTATACTGCATTGGCGAAACGGTAAAAAGTTTGGACTATGAAGGTTGCACAGGTATACCGTGGAATAGCGTACGCCAAAAGCACCCTTACTGGTGACGCGCGAATGGGAACGTCCACAAACCTGACCTGACTGTAGGACAGCGTATAGGCGCCCTGTTTTGCTTTTGGTCTACGGTCTGGAGTCCCCGCATGCGGTCGCAGTGTCGAGCAGCCGAAGACAAAAGAGGGTGTCTACTTGGGGTCACGTACACTGCACCCCACGACGCTATCCCGCACCAGGAATACACATCGGGTGGTAACTCACGCAAAGACATCTCGAAAATTCAGTAGGCAAGGTCACTTGAGCCCTCATTGGTTCAATTACCTAAATTAATGAGCCGTAGGACCTATTGTAGCCTAAAACAACCGGGCGTGATTGGCGTGGAAGGAAGAGAGCTACAACCGGACACGAAACGTCGATCGCCTTGCTCAACAGACTAAGGGACTTTGCAAACTAGTCTTGAGGAGCAGTGCGAGAATGCTGCTGAGACTGGGCACCAAACGTATAAGCAACCTGCTGGATCAGGCATAAATGGAATGAAGGACGGTCGGAAAACCTCCTTTCGCATTGTCTCTTTCCCAACATATTTGCTTCCAAATGTGACGTACCAGCAGGAGAAATTGATCCCTTAACTGCGGCAAGCGATATGTGCATAGGAGATTCCTCCGCGTCCGCAGCTGGCTTATACATAAAAGATTGTTTACTCCATGCTCGTAACTAAAAACTCGATCCAACTAAGACAGTATAATCTAAGAGATGAGTCCTAATTTAATATGGCTCAGTCCCATTGGACTAGATTCCATAGGCTTTCGAGCCAACAGGTTGCCGGATCGAATATCCGGTGTTCCACACCTCGGGGTTGGGCATGACTGGCTGACGGCGGCTAACAAGCTGGAAACGGTCATCCTACCCCCCGTGTCTTTGTCGATAATGCTTTTCTGCCTATATTACGCGATGACGTGGCTATTGGCCAAGCTCAAAAGAGAGCCACAAGGCACAACGAGACGAGTGAGTTCCGTAGCGCGATCGGTGAGCGCCCCTCTACCATGGGAAATACCGCAAAAGTTCGGTGAGTCGGGCGGGAAAATGGGCCCCAGGGACGGTCTGGAATTGAGTAGATATCGCGGCAGTAAGGAACCAGATCCCATCAAGTCCCCTCTACCCATAATATCTTATGGGAACTTCAGTAAATGCGCGAAATTCGTTTGCAATGTTCCTCCACGGAAATGTAACGATGGAGATATGAGGACAATCACAGGCCGTTTCACTTACAAAATCAGTGAATAGATAACAGGTATTAAGTGAAAATGAGGGACAAGCGGTCACGTGGGATTCGATGGTTACAAGATGGCACAGAAAGAACACGGAGGGTCAGCAGTGGAAAGTGCTGTTAGTGACTAGCGCTCTGCATTATTGCGGACTCCTCGTCCTTGGAGTAGCTCAAGGCCATTACAAGAGCCTTAAGCATGGCTTGTCGACTGTTCAGGGAAGAGGCAGGGCTGACGAGAAGGTTAAAGATGACATTCTTCACGTAGGCGAGGCTTGCGTTGTCGTGGGCACTCGGTGTCTCAATCGGGTGGCGTTCCCGGAGGGTCTCCATCAGGGCCTGCTTCTCCTCTCGATGTTCTGCCTCCAGGGCGACGAGCCGCTGCTCCAGATCATACTTTGCTTTCCGCAAACGCTTCAGTTCTACGGAACTAGGGTTTGGGATAGTGGGAGAGGAGTGGGTTAATTCGAAGGTTGATAATCACTAGTAGTTTCTATTATGTGTGTGACCCTAGGTCACGCGTGGCTCAAGTTACGTTCACCTTCCCACTGAGCGTGCCAAGGATCAAAAGGCGTAAAAGCTTGACATACAAATCTCCTTAAAATGCGGCACTGGGGAGCAGCAATGGAGAAGCTACGGCCCATGCAGACATTGGCGTCGTAATCTAGGGCAAATGAAACTGACCACGGCGACAGGATAGGTTGCACAAGTGTCTACAGCATAGGTGACGAAAGTCGGGCGGGTCTTTTTATCGACTGCATCATGAACCACAAGAGGCACCACCCAGAGGAAAAAGTTTATTCACTTATTTAGTCCATCCAAATATAGAGAGGTGTGTTGTCCCTTTTCATTTCTGAGGAAAATAGTGTGCGAACTTGGAGAAAATCCCTCGGAACAAACCTTTATAGGCTTAGTCCGACAGATAACACGAATATTTGAGCAAAAACCACCGGTTATTGTGAAATAAATGTGACATATCCACAAACTGCAGACAGGCAGTCAGTAGTATACAATCGACGAATGAGTCACTATACTGGCAGAACAGGGACCAGCTATACGCCCAAACACGTGTTTTGCTGATTTTTGAAAGGTGGATGAAAGATGCTCACTCTGTAAAGTAAAAACCCGTCTCATATTACGTAGCATGTTATGAATGCTGAGGAAAAAATGTTACCGTTAAACTATTTCATTAACACACTGACAAACAATTATTCGGCAAGGCAATAGGAAATAATGCATTCATCTAAACAGAATGACAATGGCACGAGGGAAACAGAAAAACCAATTAGCAATTGGTACCCTAAACTTCAAAATGACCATCTCATTTATGTGCAAATGCCAGTTCTCCTACCGCAATTGGTAAAAACAAATAATGGAAAAGACAAAAAGACTGTGAACATTCTGCAGAATTGCTTACAGCGACCATACCAGGTCAAATTAATGTCCTCCATACAGAAAATGGAAAAAACACAAAAAGCGGCAAGATGCTAACTGTACAACTGGGAAAAAGAGGAACATATAAATATCAAACGGTTGGCAGGGGGAAGCAATTGCATGACCGAGACCATACAGAGGAAGAATATGGCACTGTTGATCTGAACAAGGGGCAAGGTGGGTTATGGTTTTTTAGTTTGGGGTTGAAAGCCACCGCAGGGCATCAAACAGCGATAGGCAATCAGAAATCAGGAAATTCAGCTGGGACGGACTTGGAGGCTCTGCCAGATAAATCCTTACACAGTGGACGTATTGCCCTTTCTCACTATAAAATTGTCGATACTTGCAGTCAGGTTCATACGACGTGCAAACCACTGCCTCAACGGATTGAACTAAGAGTGTCAAATACCTCAACACCATTCTATGTTTCCGCTTGCCGGCAGAAATCGATCCTAGTTATCGAAGGAGTCGCAGTGATGTTAACCAAATAGAGGCGGTAGTGATAAGTTCTTTACGTAGCCTCCCCAGCAGTCCCAGAGCTCAGATCCCAACCATCAATTGCGCCCTGGCAGATGGGGAAGAAAGCTGGCTAGTCGTAGCGGAAGGCGATTTTCGAGATGCGCTCTGCTAGCGGTAGTCGACAGGTTGATATGGTCAAGCTACATTCTCCGACGGACGCAGGTTTGCGTGCGGGTAATGCAGTCGGCAAATATAGTACAGATGGACGTTTGATTGCTGTTATTGTTGTTGGACAGGAACTCGCATTTTTGGACAATGGGAGGAGTAAAGAGAGGCAGGAGGGCAGTGATTATTTCCTTCTGTTGCCAAACACAAAAAGGTTTTTTCGACGCAATTAGCCCCTGGGAAGTCCAAACGCGGTGCGCAAACCATGGTCGCTCGGTCACCGCAAACTCGGAATATGTCATGCTGCGCACGAGGCAGTTTGGCAGAAAGATGCCCTCCTGCGTTTCTTCAAATCAAAAGTGGACGTCTCCATTCATTCCTCTGGTGCACCAGGCTTAGGTGTCCAACGATGTGGTCTTATTAGATGATGGGCAACAACTGGCTTGTCGCAACAGCGTTATGGCTTAGCGCCTTTTTAAAACTAACTGACTTGCTAGATCAGTACCCAGTTAGGTAATACAGCTGCGTGATCTGGAATTATGTAAAAGTCCGACCCGAAAGCCAGCTCATTTCGCAATTTGCCTCCGCTGAATGCCGTTCGATTACCCGCCACCTAATGTCGCGCAAGCCGACAGGCCCTATAGTTTCGAACCGCTGCTAGTACCACAGATAAATATGGTGGCGCTGGTGATGGGAACATGCGGAAGAAATCAAAATAGTGCAATGTGTCGATAGATAAAAGACAAACAGCGAATCAATCGGACCCATATTGATTAGAAAGCTGATAAGATTTATAGACTGCTGCATCTTGTGTTGGTAGGTAGTTGGGTTAGAGATAGCACATAGAAGAAAGGGAAGAGTGGGATGACTCACAGTCGTCCGTACTGCTCTGCGCAGTGGAGAAGACCACAGTGGCTGACTTGTTCGCCGTTTTGAGTCGAGTCGGGCAGGACCTGGCTGTCGCCGCGTGCATTGTCTTTCTCCGACAGAATGTGATTCAGATTAGGCGACGAGAATGGTGAAGATCGAA